ACTAAACCATCACAGAACTATACTAGAAATCAGTAACAGAAAGATATGCCCAGACAGTATGACTCAGTGGTTGAGCGTCAACCCAGGCACCAAGAGGTCGCCAGTTGGATTCCCGGTCAGGGCTCATGCCCAGGTTGTGGGCCCAATCCCCAGTGGGGGGCATGCAGGAGGCGGCCAGTCGATGTTCTCTCTCATCAGTGTTTCCATCTCTCCCTCTCCCTTCCTCTCTAAAACCAATTAAAAATATATTTTTAAAAAAAAGAAATAAATAACAGAAAGATACTTGTTAAAATAGAATAACCCATGGATCAAGAGGAAGTCTGAAAGAAAATTTTAAAGTGTTTTCAACTGAAAGAAAATACATCTCAGAAATGGTGGGAAACGGGTTTAAGGTGGAAACCTACAGCTTCTATTAATAAAGAAGGAAAGTCTCGAATCAGTAACACGAGCTTTGACCTTAGAGAGTTAGAGCTAGGGGAGTCAGCTGAACTCAGAGCTGGCAGAAGGAAAAAGTAAGAGACCCAAAGCAATCAAACTGAAAACAGAAATACAGAGGGGGAACAAGCCAAACCCAGAACTTGTTCTTTGGGGAAAACTAAAATCAGTAAACCTCCAGCCATAATGGGTAAGGGGAAAAGACACAACGGACTACACCAGGAGTAACGGGGGGCCTTCCCAGGACCAACACATTGCAGGGGTACAGGGAACATAGAACTCAGACGAAAGGGTCCAACCCTGGACAGACACAGCTACAGAAATTCATTTGGGAAGATACAGTCCTGTACCTATTAAAGGAATGGAACTCACAGTTTAAAACCTTCCAAAAAACAAAGCTACAGACCCTAACGGTTTGTTGGATGACCTCTACCCAACACTTAAGAAAGAAATAACATCGATCCCACAAAAGCTCCCTTAGAATACAGAAGAGGAGGCGCCCCTTCCCAGCATCATCTTAATACTGAAACCAAAGACACTACAAGAACCTGCACAGCATCCACATTCCCTGGGAACACGGCCACCAAAACCTCAACACGATGAACAGTAAGTCATCCCCAGCGGTGTCCACTCAGGCCAGCGTGTCAGGACCAAGTGGCCGTCACCCCAGGAACGCAGAGCCGGTCTAACAATCGGTTCATCACTGTAATTCACCATCTCCACAGACGGGTGAGGAAAAGCCACGATCATCTCAACAGAGGCACAGGAAACAGTGTTCCACGAGTTTACGTGTCTTCCCCAAGACCAGGCAGAGGGAAGCCCAACCCTGCTGTTTTGATTCCAATCCAGAAAATACTGAAGACAAAAATGACGGACTTGAGAACCTCACAAAAAAAGTCTTGCAATAAAATGGCCTGATGTCCATTCTAACGAAAGTGGTGACACCAGAAGATTTTTGAAAACATCAGTAGACGAATGGATAAAAAGCTGTGGTACATATACACAATGGAGTACTATGCAGCTGTAATAAAGAAAGATCTCTTATCCTTTGAGACTACATGGATGGACCTGGAGAGTATCATCCTAAGTGAAACAAGCCAAGCAGAGAAAGACAAATATCATATGATCTCACTTATCTGTGGAATATAATGAACATAACAGTCTGATGAATGGGGTAGTCCCAGAAACGTGAAGTAGGGTACAGACTGACAATCCCAAGAAGAGGGGGTGGTGGGAGAGAGATAAACCACAGAACTTATATGCATGTATGCATGAACAATGGACACGGACAACAAAGCTGGGGACAGGGCGGGGAGGGAGGGGGAGAGGGAAATCGGTGGGGGGGGAGGAGAAACATCTGTAAAAAAATAAATTAATTAAAATAAATAAAACACTTTGTGGAGCAGGCAAAGCTCTGCCCAGAGGGTCAATCAGGGTGCCCCCATCTGCCCCCTCCATTTTGCCCCCCATGCTTTGCTCAGCCTCCCACATCACACGTGGCCTCAAAGATTCCAGAACACGCAGCCTTTGCCTTCCTTCTGAGGACCACCTCAGGTGAGATACACTTTACAACGTGTACAGCTCCTCTGCCAGAGCTCCATTATTATGCCCATTTTACAGATTAAGAAACTGAGGTACACCTCGCGACACCTACATGGAGTGCCAGCACCCATCCACCCAGTTAGCTTGCTTCATGCTGCCGCCAGCTGCGGAGCAGGGTTCTGGAATCCATGGCAAGAATCCCACGGTAGGAGGGAAAGAAGGGCCTTGGCCAGTGAGGCTACAGCAGGTACATGCCATACCCCAACAAGTGATTTTTAAAAAACAAAATCAAGATTCTGCACCAAATAGAACAAGTCCCTATCAGGGCACATGCCCAGGTTGTGGGCCTGATCCCCAGTGGGGGGCATGCAGGAGGCGGCCAATCGATGTTCTCTCTCATCGATGTTTCTATCTCTCTCTCCCTCTCCCTTTCTCTCTCTAAAAAAAATCAGTAAAGAAAAAAAAAATGTTTTTTTAAAGAAAAGTAATCTCATCGACTTCTTTTTACTTGTTCACACGTGGCTCCTGGAGAAGTGTGCGTGCTGATTGGACACACGACATCCCTGGCACGGGGCCAGCGCTCCGAGACCCTGCAGCTCAGAGGCCCACGAGGCGTACAGGCACCTGCAGCTCACCTGGGCCTGGGACTGAGCTTTAGAACCAGAGATCTGGACTGAGGATGGAGGACAGCTACCACATAAAACAAATACATAATGTTGTATGTTGTTGTTTTATTTTTTGAAGGGAAATCTCTTGGCCACAGGAAGCTTAACTGTACCAACAAGGGCCGCAGTGAAAACAACTGAACAATGGTCAACTAGGGTCACTGTGGCCTGGCCCGGTTCTCTCCACCGGCACGGGCCATCGGGCTCTGGAGAGTGGGGAGCAAGAGCACCCAGCCAGTGAACCCTCCCCACCCAGGGCGGACCCTCACCTCCTGCTTCTAAGTCCAGAGCACAGGCCTGGCTTAGATCCCCGAGGGCAGACCCTGCCCCTCCAGCTAGGCCTGCACTGGGCCCATTGCCCCTGGCATTCTGCCCTATGGCTCAAAGGCTTCCCCCACCTCTAGCTAATGATGAGCCAGTCACTCGTCCATGAGGCATCCATCCCTAGCCAGGCAATGCTGAGGGTCCCTCTATGGCATTCCATGTGCCCTTCTCATCTGAGATTTGTTGTGGTAGAAAACATGGATCACAGCTCCACCACTGATCCTGTGTGTCCAGAGATTCTCTAATGGCCATTTACAATGTAAGATTCAAGCCTGCCCATGTGGCTTAGTGGTTGAGTGTCAACCCACGCACCAAGAGGTCACCAGTTCAATTCTCGGTCAGGGAACATGCCCAGGTTGTGGGCCGGATACCCAGTGGGGGGCATGCAGAAGGTGGACAATCGATGTTCTCTCTCATCGTTGTTTCTTTTTTTTTTATCCTCACCCAAGGACATTTTTCCATTTTTTTATTCAGACAGAGCAGGAGGGAGAGACAGGAAGAGAGAGAAACATCGACGTGAAAGGGGCACATCGAGTGGCTGCCGCCCGCACAACCCAACCAGGGCCGGGGACAAACTGCAACTGAAGTACATGACCTTAGCAGGAACCGAACCTGGGTCTCTCTGGACTGCAGGCTGACGCTCTAACCGCTGAGCCAAACTGGCCAGGGCTCTCTCATCGATGTTGCTATCTCTCTCTCCTTCCTTCCTCTCTCTCTAAAATCAATGAAGAAAAAAAATTTTTTTAACAATGCTAAGAATTCCACCAGTACCATCATCCTCCAGGGAGCGGCTCCCTGGGGGTGGTGATGATCTTCCTTGATCTGGGCGCTCATTACATGGGAAAGTTTACTTTGTGAAGATGCCTGAGCTGTACCCATTTGATATATCAGTCATTTAACTGTATGTTATTAAAAAAATAACAGACATCTTCCTCTCCTCTGCCTCCTACCCATCCACTTCCACTCATCCTGACTACCTCCAGGCCACACGCTAGCCTCTTGTGCCTTGAACAGTACTTCCTCCAGAGGCCTCTGCCCTGCTGTCCCTCCATGGAGAGCATCTGGTCCCACTGGTTATCACTTGGGTCTCAGATAACCTCCTTGCAGATAGAAAACCAGCTATATCTGGGGATTTCACTCCCCCCTTCCCACCAGCTGCTCCCTGAAACATGACCTGTTTTATGTCTGTCAGAACATTTTTCTGTTTCCAGGCTCACTGCCCCCCCGCCCCAAAACGAACGGTGAGAGCAGGCTTGAACTGCCCCCCTGACAGTTCTCAACCATCAGCTGAATCAATGACTGGGGAAAGGGAACCAATGAACCAGATTAAAGGCTGCTTCGGCCGAGACATATCTTACTCTGGCTCCACGTAGCGTGGTGGATGGAGATGAAAAAGGTAAGTGAAAATCCAGGAGGAAGGGCGATGCAGGAGGGAGGACGAGCCCCTAGAAGTGGGAGCCTGGCGAAGATGCCAGGAACAAACTCTCCGGCCTGGGACTTTGCAAAGGGGCCACCACCAGCCAGGTGCCAGCGTCGGGGGGCCCACCCCGCAAGATGCTTCCCAGGTGGTACAGCGCTGCCCCATCCCCACTGTGCAGCTGGCTCGGGCCTGGGGCAGGCTGGTCTCCTGCCCGGGGCGCAGGGGCGCAGGGCCTCTCACGGCCCCCACACATTACATGCCCCACCATCCACACCCCCAAACACACCTGCCTCGCACACGCTCCGTCCACGGGTATGCGGGTCACACACACTCACACCAGATTCCGGACACTCGGGCACCTCTGCCCGCCCACCCCGGCCCCTGCCAGCCCGTCACATCGCGCCCCAGACACACGCGACCCCGGGAGCGCCCCCACACGCACCCTCCGCGGTGCACACACGCACACAAGCCTCGCCCGGCAGCCACGCCTCCGCGCTACGCCCCGCCCCCGTTGCCTGGCGACGGTGGGCCCGCCCCCCGGGCGTTGGAGGCGGCGCCGCAGGCCCGCAGACTCCCGACCCTCCCGGCGGCCGCGGCGGCCTTGCGCTCAGTACCTGCCTCCAGTCGATGCTGCCGAGGCCTCCGCAGCAGTCGGGCCCAGCCGCCGCACTGCTCATAGGCGCCGCTCCGGGCCCCAGAGCCTCTCAGCCAGGGGACCGCCTCTGGCTGGATCACGCGGGGGCCTCGCGCCAGCCAGCTGCCCCCAGGCCCGGCCCCATCGCGCCCGGAAAGCGCAGCCTGTCGGGGCGCTTTCCCGGTGACCCCAGCGTCTGCGGCCTTCTGGGAAATGTAGTTTCGTGCCCGCGACGCGCCCCTTCGCTGGCGCTCGCCCGCCGGCCTTTCAAGGAACCGGGAACTACAAGTCCCAGGACGGCGCTGCAGGGGCTGCAGTTCCGAGGTGGATCGCAGCGGGGTCCGCTCGGCTTCGGCCTCCCACCGGTCCCGGGTCCCCGCTCCCGCCCTCGGCCCGCCGACTGACCTGCGTTCTGTCCGAGGCTGGCGGCGGCGGCGCTGCAGGCCGGCGGCGGCAGGTCGGAGCTTTAAGTAGCTGCCTGCGCAGCCCCCCGCGGACTTGGCCTTTGGCCCGGGCCTCCCGCCCCCTCCTGCGCCTCGCCTTTGCCCGGAGGCGGCGCAGGCCGAGCTCACCCTGCGGCCTGCAGCCTGGGCGGCTCCTGGCGACCCTCGGCGTCCGCGGTCGGGCCCCGCCGGCGGCGCCTGCTCCAGCCCCGCGCTCCTTCCCGCATCCCCTCGTCCGCTCACCGGGCGTCTGGGGCCGGCTGGGTCCTGCCCCGTGTCCTAAAGGAAGTGAGACCCAACACGAACAAAGGGTTACACCTTGGCTAAGTGCTGTGATGGAAAAACAGGGGGCTGAGTTGGATGGTACCGAGGGGTTGGTGCCAGACCTGCCGAGTGCGGGGTAGGGCGGACCGGGAAGGGGCTGGTGCAAGGCCAGGGCGGGATTCGGGGCGCTGCAGGAGCCCAGAGAGGCTGGTGAGCTGTGCAGGGGGGACAGGGAAGGGCTGAGAGGAGTGCGTGGTTGAATCCCAGCAGAGCCTCTCCTGGAGCCGGAGTTCCAGGCGAATATGGGGAAGTAGACTGAGGTTCCCATGTTCTGCGCAGTCACCCAGCCTACGGGGAACCCGCACTCGTGCATGGCAGCTGCTTCCTGCTGCAGGCTGTTCGCTGCTCTCCCCCTTGGCCCTAAGCACCTGTAACCTTGAAAGCATGTGCTGAGCAACCCACTGGATGCCCCCGTGCTGACTGCTTTGCGGATAGGCCCAGCCTTCACAGCATCGTCAGGTGGGGCAAGCTTTGGAGCATGCACCAGCTCTGGCTTTCAGTTCTTTCTAAAGTAAAAGGCCCTGGCCAGTGTAGCTCACAGGTTAGAGCGTCGGCCTGCACACCGAAGAGTCGTGGGTTCGATTGCCGGTCAAGAGCGGTACCTGGGTTGCAGTTTCAATTCCCTGGCCCCAGTTGGGGTGCATGCGGGAGGCAGCCAATCGATGTGTCTCTCTCTCACATCCATGTTTCTTTCTCCCTCCTTCCCATGATCTCAAAATCAATGGGGAAGCCCTGACCAGTTTGGCTCAGGGGTTAGAGTATTGGCCCGCGGACCAGAGAGTCCTGGGTTCGTTCCCCATTAGGGGCACTTAGCCTCGGTTGCAGTTTGTCCCCGGCCCAGTTGGGGTCGTGCAGGTGGCGGCTGCTCAATGTGTCTCACGTCGATGTTTCTCTCTCTTCCTCCCTTTCTCTCTCCTGCTCTATCTGAAGATAAATGCAAAAATGTCCTCAGGTGAGGATAAGAAAAAAAAAACAATGGGGAAAAAATACCCTCTGATGAGGATTAACAACAACTACAATGAAGTAAAAGGAAATACATATGGTAAAACTCAACACACAGGACCTGAACTCCCCACACAGTGCTGTGGGAACTGCTTCAGTAACCACAGGCCACAACAGGGCTGGGTACACAGTAGGTGCTCAAGGGCCAGTTTGCCTACTGACCATTGTTATAAGGGTCAGGAGGGCCCTTCAGGGTGTCCAGTCAGGGCCTGCTAGAACCAGAGCCAATTCTGAGGAACCCGCCAATGGGGAGGGTTTTCACTGAGCATTCCCCCTGCCCCCCACTCCACAGCTACTTCATAGAAGCCCCAGTTTTCTCCTGACCTACTTGGCCGCCCATTGTTGTATCAAGCCAGGAAAATGATTTTTTGTGTGTGTGTTTGGTTTATCTGAGAACAAAGAAGGTAAATAGCAGAGGTCACACCAGAGCTGATGCAACCAGAGGCATCTACTCCTCCACCCCAGCCCTCCCCCGCTGCTCTCCCTCTGCAAAGGAAATACCCAGCCGTGCAGAAGCCAAGCTACAGCTTCAAATGTGATTGGGGTTGTTCAGATCAAAAGCCTCCTGCTGAAGATATTTGGGGGCAGAAGTCTTTGGCCTTTTGAAAACTCCCTGGCCTGAGAGCTTGCAGGGACATCCCCTCTGCTTACCTACCTCAAGTGATGGAATGTGCACCACCTGGTAAGGTAGCCGCCACTGTATATTTGTGATACAGACCCTGACACCTTAACAAATAGAGCTGCTTCCCCCCTCAAGGTTCTCTCTCTCTGCCTCTTGATAGCTCTTCAAATAAGGAAAGCCATTTATCACATCTCGAAGTCTGCCCCAGGACAAACATCTCCAGGTGACCAGGAGTTTGACCCTTGCTAAAAGCCATTTCTACATTTCTTCTTGCCTTCTCCTCCCCTCCTTCCCCCAGGGGCACTGGACCTGGCCACGTGGCTGCCAGCCATCACTAAAATGGGCTTTTATTACTAAAATTCACATTTGCTTATTGGGTGGCTTTGGGTAAAACCTAAATCTTCCCTGACTATGAATCTATTTTCTGTCCATAAAATAGGTGTAACAAGAGCTCTTGAGCATAGCTGTGGTAAGGAGTCGAGCTGATACTATGTACAAAAGTGCTCAGAACACAGTTCTGATAAGTGTGTCTCCCTGCTTTCTGTATAGCTGAGATCACATGCATGACACTCCTGGACACACTGGAGGTTAGGAGCAGCCCAGCACTGGGGCCCAGGAGAGCTGGGTGGCAGTGCTACCATTGTAATGAGCTAGGTATTAATCATAGGAAAGGAGCAAATGGGGAAGCCAGGCATTATAGGCATGCATTTGGGCAGCTTCACCAGGAAGCTGCAACTTCACACTCCCCAGGAAAACACCAGCCCCTTCCCTGCAAATCACTGGGGGAATGGACCCACCAAAGGGGAAATAAATGCATGTGCAGTGACGTTGGGGTGACCAGGGAAAGTGCCTGTCAGTCACATCTGGGCACAGAGATCATTGGCCAGAATGGGCATGGCCACTGCAAGCCAACTAAAATGTGGGGGTACACAATCCCCTAAACAAAGGAGCTTGTTCTCTTGTGACTCCTGGCTCTCTTGCATTTGCCTGGATGGCCCATGGCCACGTGGACCCCACAGGCAGTGGACTAATGGACTCCACTGGAAACAGGCCAAGCCAGCCTGATGCTGGGCTGGTCTCGGCTCCAATGGGGAAGCGAAACTGGACACTGGCTCTGACTTTAGCTCTGCCAAAGGCCCAGCTACACGCCTTCCTCGGGGAGACCGAGGGAAATGAGACCTTGGGAACTCAGGGGTTTCATTCCACAGAAATAAAGCTTTCTACGATATCCCATCCTCCCGGGAAGTGTCAGAAAATTCCTTTTCTCTGGATATCACAAGAACTCCACTCCCACGAGCAGAAGGTGGGTAGAGGACCTCTCCTCACTGGTACCCAGAAGGATGTGGGGTGGGGAGCCAGGACGGGCAGCCAGAGCTGCTCTCCACACAGCCTCCCTGACTCACCGGAAACCATGTCATCGGGAGTTCTTTAAAGCAATAGGTGTCCAGGATGCCCAGCGGCCCACTCCTAGATGTAGCCGATTGTCCCCAGCCTGCTTGTGGAGAGTCCAGGAACCGGAGAGTGGCAGGTTCAGCAGGAGCCCCAGGGGGACCTGGGGCAGGACAACACCATTGTGATGAGTGCACCCTCCCTTCCACCTGTGCTCAGGAAGGAGCCCCAGTGACCTCCTATTGGTGGGAAGAGGGCTCAGGAGTGGACTCACCTGGATCCAGTAGTCCAAGGCCCAGGAAACACCAGCAAGGACATTGGTGCCGGTGGGGCCTCCCTGTCCCCCAGTATCCACAATGCAGACCACCCCTGCCTTCCTGCTGGCCTCTGCTATCCCTGAAACTCCCAGGCACCTCGGGGCCTTTTCGAAAGTGGTGCCTTCTGCATGGAATGCTGTCCCTCAGATGTCCTGACAGCTCCCTCCCTCACCGCCTTCAGGTCGAGAATCCCTTTCCAGGGCACTGAACATGTCGGATCCCCCTACACTCTCCATTTCTCCCCAGCTTTATTTCTCTGCAGCCTTATTACCATCTAACAAATGTACTCAGTTCACTTATTTTGTGTGGTGTGTCTCCCCCAGTAGTATAAAGCTTCATGAGGGCAGGGACTTTTATCTATTTATAGTTAACTCTCACCCTGCACCTGGATCATGCCTGGCACAAATCAAGTGCTCAAGAATGAATGGAATGAATGAATGAGTGAAGAATGAATGAATGAATGAATGAATGAATACTTCTGTCATTCCCATAGTTTGGGATTCCTTGGGCAAAACACTTCTCTGGGCCTCAGCGGCCTGTCTATGGAATGAGGAGGGTGAAAAGATCTGTGAATAAGAAATCAAACTAACCAGTGAGACTTTAAGTCCCCACCACTTCCTGGCTGTGTGGCCCGAGGCAGGTGGCTTACACTCTCTGACTCTTGTTAGAGGAGGACATCCTAAGTGTAAAGCATTGGCTAGGATGTTTGAGCTCTCACAAAGCTGCAGGCTGAACACTCGGCACTGTTTTCTTTAAGCCTTGCCACAGCCCGGTGAGGTAAGGCAGTTTTCTGACTTTCCAGACCAGGGAACCTACTCGGGCGGCAGGGCGTGGCCCAGAGTCCCGAAGCCTCCTGCCAGCCCTCAGCCCTGCCTCCCTGGGAAGGAAGGCACGGGGCGGCAAGAGCCGAGCTCAGGGCTGCTGCGGGATCCAGCAGCTCGCAGGCATTCGGTTCTGAAAACACGTCACATTTCTGCAGCTCCTCTGTGTCTTTCCTTCCCATTCGCCCTTCCAAGTTCATCTGAAGTCTCCTCTCTG